TGTCGGGTGTAGATTGATGGAGTGTGAATGGTGTGATGTCTTTTAGTGCTGAATCTGTATTGCACAGTGGATTTCACAATTCAAACAGATCAAGTGACTGTTCTTGCATTCGTTGGAAACATTACAGGAACGTATTTTTGCTATCACGCATACTGATCATAGGGTCTATGTCCCCCAGGGTACTGCCGGAACGTACCCTGGGTACGGTCCGGTATACCGGAAAGTACCCTGGTAACTATCTAGCTGATATGGTTAGGGTTAGGGAGTAGGCAACTCCCTAGACTCGTTAGTGGAGTAGGCGAGGTACGGTCCGGCATATTAGATAGTAGTATTTAGTACCAGGGTACGTTCCGGCAGTACCCTGGGGGACATAGACCCTATCAGCCATACTGATCGCATCTCGCTCGTTATTGTTATACGCACATAACTGTGGCTGAAGGGGTCGTTGTCGTATCAGGTACTACATATAATATGTACCCGAGCTACATATATGTATACACAAAGTGTACCAGACTTGTACTACAGAAGTGTACCCTAACCCTAACCCTAACCCTAACCCTAACCCTAACCCTAACCCTATCCCTAATTCTAAAATGAAACAAAATTAGCCAAAAATAATAAATAATAAAATAAATAAGAGACAAAATTAGCCAATCAGAGCCGTCCCCTAGCGGATCACTATCTCTCCCCTGTGCAAAATTCTATTAACACGCGTGCCATTCGCCTGCATCTAACAGGGCATGCGCAGAACGATGGCGAAACGAGTGTAGAAAGCGAGACTAGTGTCAATCCAACACTCTCTAAAAACTATGCCGAAAGTAACAACGCTTCGTCGTATCGGAAGGTATCGATTCTCGGGGAGGTGCCGTAGCACATGTGCTGCCCTCTATGTTCAAACTCTCGTTTCAGATGTCTATACAGTCTGATCCAGCTACGATCCTAGTGCCTATGACTACGGGAAAAGCACCTCCCCGATAAAAAGCACTTAATGGTTAAGTACACGTATACTAATTCTCAAATCGCTCCTTGGGAACAAATCTTTATACATCCAGCCAACGTCCATTCAGAAAATGCCACATAGGGGGCAGCAGCTGGCAGCTGGCCCTCACGATACTCAATACAATCGCAAGTAAACATACAAGCATAAGCCAAACCATGGAGCGCCACCGCACGGCAGGCGTGCGAACTAAGCGTCCACTCAAAAGTAGCTTCGGGGGAATTGAGTTGGCGTTGACGACGTTCCAGCTTCCGTCACGTCGCGATATTGTAGCTGCCATTACTGACACAGTACTGCACAGCCGAGCTGCCATTTTTCTCGCATTAAAATTTATACAGGAGCAAAAATTCAGTCGTTGAAATCGAACCTGAATACAGCTATGAGTGAAAAGTTGGGCCTTTAGCAGTGGATCGTTAGGATTCCACTACTGAAGACCCAAAATCACACTATTTACCAAAAATATGTGTGTACATGTCCTGAACATGTCTACTAGCCACCTTAAGGCAACGGTAGATAATGCATTCAATCAGTTAAGAAATTATAACACATTGAAGCCAATTTGGCTCGTAAAAAGACAAAAAACAATTATATATGTTGAGAAAATATAATATTTAAGGAGTCCTACAGGGGGAAATAGTATTTCGTAAAATGGGGGGAAAACTGGCCAAAAAGAGGCCATTTAAAAAAATCTCGGAGTGGTGTCATCATCGATACAAAGGTACCAATGTTTAACAGCATCGAGGCTCCACCTCTGCTTGCCTGCTCATTGCATGCCGCACACAGCAGCGTCAGCCTCCTCCGCAAAGAGAATCCCCACCATCGAAGATTCCACATGGCAGCCAAAAAATATCACCCATGCCAAGATGATCTCGTCTCGTTGCTGTGGATGTGCAATACTAGCTGTACATACATAAACTGCTAGCTGTACATACATACATCACTAGCTGTACATACATACATCACTAGCTGTACATACATAAACTGCTAGTTGTACATACATACACCACTAGCCGTACATACATACACCACTAGCCGTACATACATAAACTGCTAGCTGTACATACATACACCACTAGCAGTACATACATAAACTGCTAACCGTTCATACATACATCACTAGCTGTACATACATACATCACTAGCTGTACATACATACATCACTAGCTGTACATACATACATCACTAGCTGTACATACATACATCAGTACATACATACATTACTAGCTATACATACATACATCACTAGCCGTACATACATACATCACTAGCTGTACATACATACATCAGTACATACATACATTACTAGCTATACATACATACATCACTAGCCGTACATACATACATCACTAGCTGTAC